TGCCTAACTGTCATCTTATAAAATGTGTGCAGATAAAACTGGTATTAAATGTCAACAGCTAACTGATGGCAGCGCCGTTGAAGCATATTTAATTTATACAAATTTGTAAATTTAACAAATGAAAAATMATCCGGAGACATACTTCAAGTTTTCACAAGAATAACTGTAATTAATAACCAAATATTTGCAAACGAAGTGATACTGTATGGTTTTTTGTTTTGGGCAACACACAAAAGAGCATTTCAAAAAGAAAAATAAAGAAATTTACTGAAGATGGTGGTCTCGTGATAGTTTGTACTAAGGAGTTAATTGGAAATAAATGGTTTGGGAATAAATGAATAAGAATAATCCTTAAACTCGGTTGTACAGACGCTATAATACCCTACGCAAATATAAAATTCTTTCTACATGATCTTTGATCGTTCTGTGTGTATGCAGCTATATACTATCCTCAATACCTCACGCCACGTAAACTGCAAAAGTTTTCCATACAAGCACTTGATTCCGAGAGAAATAAGATAAAATATACTAGCTAGGACTTATTAGAAGCTGGTAGTTTGATCAAATTATCGAATCCAATATATTTTGCTTTTCTTACCAGAATCTAGTGTGCCAAGACTACTTAACAAATACACATTTTTCACCCTTTTGAAATTCCATAAATATTTTGAAATATGTTTTGAAGTCAAAGTTCTTTTCTGAATTCTATTTTCATCTAATCGTGGTACAACTGTACCATAGCTGCATTTAACTGTGTGTATGTAAGTCAAGCATATAAAACTTTTACACAATTACTTCTTAATCATGTGCATCTTTACGTCTCATACTTTTCTGCCAATATTTCTGAAAAAAATCATATTGAAATTCTTCGGAAATGTCTTAAGCAGACAGACAATTGCACATATATCAACACAAAATRCATTGCAAGCTTATAAAACTGTAAACAATACGTTCAAAATGTCACATAAATGTCAGAAACTCATTTGGAACTTGTCACATATACATATGCCTGYAAGAAAGCTGCTGACACTTTGCACTAGGTTAGTCTGATCACCGCATGCAAATGTCATTTTGTCAGCGTTATTAACATAAAAAAACCACAACCTTTGGGTCAGAGTCGTATTCACTCATTTGTATATTTATTTATAGTTTAGTGTTAGTTGGCAAAACATGAAAAGTTTGGAGCAAAGCAAAAGCTTAGAACCACAGTTGAATGCAGCAAACACTAAGTAAAGTTATCTTCGCAAAGGCTTAACTACTTACACTTGTGTCTCTTGTATGCACACATGTGAATATGCTGACAAAAAAAAAAAAAAAAAAAAAAAAAAAAAAAAAAAAAATAAATATTTGCTAAATTTCTTGAAAAATTTTAATAAAAATTGAATTCAGCTGCTGTGATACGTGATTTCGTAATAGGTGCGAAAAATTTAATAATCCTTGATGAGTTATTGGGAAAAGAGAGAGTTATTGCAAGAGCTTTGCTCCAAATTTATTATTGTAGAATACATWTTTGGAATGAAATTCTATGAAACGTTGATAAAAGCTTAATTTTAAGGATCTTTAGTCTACAACAATCAKCTTTTGCTTTTGATTAACTTTAGTTTTTTCCATTGAACTTTAAAGTTATAAATAAGAAATGTAAAAATGGTGTACCTAATAAAGCATGTCATTTCCGTCCGTTAAAAAATATAAAAAAAAATTAAAACTTTTCCTAGTTACATATGATCTTTGAGGGCTCTAAAAACAGCGCCCTGCACCCTTTATTGCCACAGTGATTCCGGCATTCTCTCTTGGTCAAATCTAAAAATACTCGCTTCCGAAAGTTGTTGAATCGTACAAGACATTTTTTGTCGTTTTTGATGAAATTAAAAAACTGTTAAGAAAATATGATATTGACCGGATCATTTGTCTGCGAAACTTGTTCTGGATGTTAGATTCCTACATACTACGCTAAAGTTTGCTGTATAGCCAGAAGTCAAAAGGAGCTAAGCCTGCCGAATATGGAGGTTAAAAGTTTTGCGAAAAACTCACGAAGAATCTACGCAGTGTGTGACGGTGCATTATCGTTTTGCAAAAATCAAGAGTTGTCGGTGCATAATTCCGGCCAGATTGGCTAGTCGGAAGAAATTCATCTCGATAGTCGAAAAAAAAGTCAACATAATCTTGACTTTTGATCTGCTTTTGGCGTGGTTTTTTCGGCTTCGGCTCACCTTTTCTCGATATTCTATAGATTGATCGTCTTTTTCCGGGTCATTAACGTAGATTAAAGAAACATCGCCGGTACGTTTCCTGATACCCTGATAGTTGAAAAGCATTKTTTCAGAGACGTTAATGCGACGCAGTTTTTCAAAAATAATTGAGTGAATTCGGAACCAATCGTACTTTCAGTTTTCTTAGGAGCAAATTATCTTTCAAAATAGTTTTCATTTCTCCTTCCGATATTATATTACTATTTTRCTATAATCTCTAATCTTCCTTTATTTTATTGTCGTGCTGATCATCAGTTGCTGCTGATGATCGTCCTGGACGTAGTTTGTCGTCAGCGCTTTTTCGATCCTCTTTGAATAATTTGTTACAATCAAAAAGACTTAGTCGAGACAAATAATTATCGTCAAAGGCCACACAAAATTTAATGGAACTCTTTGTTGAATAATTTCACTCATCGTAAAAAACGTCTAATAGAATTTATGTAGTCCAACACTAAACAGAGTGCACTAAACACTAATGATTATTTTGATGTGCCATTTGGCGCAACTAGAATGAAATCCATATACCTTTAGTTAGCTCTAACTTCCAAAGGCGCATGTAAAAATTTGACATTTTTACGATCATTAATTTGTGAACTATTTTTATTGTAACAAAAATGAATAAGAATAAATAAACTGAATGAAATAGTAGGCACTCTAAAGATAGCAAACGTATCTATCTTTAACAATTATCTGAGTATGAGAAGGCTCTCAGCAMAATGAAAGCCGCGTGAGCTCACTTTTCACCAAAAACAAYGACGAGWTGATGACTCGCAGCAGTGTTTGGAGACAATCCAAATAATCGTAATAAATCCGAGTTTTTGTGTCAATATGTAACAGTGGATGAAACGTAGTTCCATCATTTTACTTCGAAGTACAATTGGTRGTCCTCTAAGTGGACTGTAGACGATGAACCGGCACCAAAGCGTAGATAAAGTTCAAGTTTATGGCGTCTGTATTTTGGGATGCTATTCACTACCTTGAAAAAAAAAAAAAAAAAATTCATCAACCGCGATTGTGGCATTGTGCTAGTGACCGTGGGAAGGAGGAAATCGTCGAAAAACGGCCGCATKTGAAGAAAATGAAAGTGCTTTTTCACCACGGCAATGCATCGTGTCACAGATCAGTGAAAATGATGGCACAAATCCATGAACTGGTWTTCGAACTGCCTCCGCATCCRCTATATTCTCCAGATCTGCCTTCCCGGGGACTATTACCTGTTTCCAGATTTCAAAAGAATACTCACTGTGAAGAAAATGAAAATGTCGAATGAAATATGATAATGATCGTGCTAAATTGATCTAAAAAATCCGTGAAATTATTTGAATCGATGCAGATTTTACAGTGATAATGTTGGCTAAGGGTTTAAAGCTATGTAAAAGCACTATTTGGAGACTTTTAAATGAAGTGTTAATTAAAAGAAATGTATGAACGCATTTTGTTCAACATGACTTTCTAGATATTTCAGTCTAACAAGCATCCGCAACCGAGGTGCTGTGAAGCTTTACCACAAATTACGAACAAATTACTATGGTTAAAATAAYTTTTAGTGTTTAATGCACTGTAGAAGGCGACATTATAAATTATTACAATGGCCTACCGGTTTCAAAAACGAAGCATTTTTTCGACTACAATTATTAAAAAAAAAACAAATTTCGCGAAATTTTACTTTTTTTAAATGTCTGCAAAAGTTCAATTTACGGCGCATTTTTTCCTAGTGGTAATCGGAAACTGTGTCGCAATGGCCAAGTTTAAAATATTTTTTTACAAAAATTTCAGAATTTCTTTGTTAATAGTGTTTGTTTGTAACAATAAAAAATTTTAATAAAATATTTAATTTGTATACGGAAACAAATTTTTGAAGAAATTCTGTTTTTTACCCGAGCAAATCCATGTAACCCCATAAGCAAATGTTGAAATGGCGCTGGCGATTTTTTTTATCTAAATAATGGAGCAGCAAACTGAAGGGTTAATTTAGTCTGAAATGGCATTGTATGTCGTTTTTCAAATAACAAGCTTATTTTCCTTTGAAGAAAGAGAAATATGGTAAAAATTATAATAAGATTTACAAATATAAACATTCAAAAAAAATTAATTAAAATAAAAAAATAATAAATGCAATTTAGCAATCTGGGTCCTCTTCTTCAATAAAATCATCTCCAGCTATGGTTAAATCCGGCAATTTCAGCTTAACGTCGTCATTTCAAATGCCAATTTTTTTGAAAATTTTACACTTTAAATATAATTTTTCATTATTCTATATTAAAATTAGTTGAAAAAAAAGAAATAACACATTTAATTTAAAAGCAATATGAATTACCCATTGGATTCACAGCCATTCATTGCTTTAAAATGAGCATTAATTTTATATTCTCAACGATTTTCACTACTACATATAACTATAAGCACTAACATTTTTATACATGCGTATGCACAGCGGCATAAACAAACARGAAGGCAATAACGGAGAGCACTAAAGCAATGTTATTGAAGCACTAAAACCGAAACGCGATAATAAAATACGAAGGCATTTGAAATGACAACGCTACGCTGCCGCAGAGCAAGCGCAGTACGCGTGCACTTGCCATAACATGAAAAAAAAAATGAACCGTTATTTGTTTACCTTAACATATGCGCAAACAGCGCATGAATGCAGCTTAACTGATTAGATGGTATTTATTGATGTTGCTGCTGTATTTGTTATTGTTTTGTTTTTGTTGCAGTAATTTAGCGCACAAAAGCAAATAACCAAATCTATCGCCGGTAATGGTACATGCCATAACCAATGGGTGTGCTGCCCATGGCACGTTCGGTGGCCTTCTCAATGCTCGCATGAACGCACCGATAACAGCACACATAGGCCAAACATCACTTGAATAGTATGCGACGAAAGGCGCGCCTAAAGTCCTTATTGAAGATGGTGTAGATGGCCGGATTCAAGGCGGAGTTCATGTAGCCGAGCCAAAATGCGACCGCAAACGCAAAGTCTGGTATGTTGCAGTAGCTGCCGCAGACCGGCACTAGTATGTAGAGGAAGAAGAACGGCAGCCAACAGGCAATGAAACTGCCCATAATTAAACCCAATATGAGTGTGGCACGTTTCTCTTTTTTCCGCGCGATGCGTCGTTTCTCCTTTTCGGGGTCGCGTGGTTTCTGCAATTTCGGTATGGCCGGTTCGAGTTCACCTTTGGTCACTTCACAKGGTTTCAGCGTCTTCGCTGTTGCTACGGCCGTCGCTGTCGTCTTCGCCTCATTGCGACGTGTTTGATTTGCCGACTTGCGTCCGAATATCGGTTGGCAGAGTCGAAACTTTAGCGGTTTCACTACCGCACATCTGCTCACCACACCCGAATCCGAGCTGGATGGATCGAATTCGCTAACCATGTCGGTGTCGATGCCMACCGAAAGCGCACGACATCGCGCAGCGATGGGCGAGACACGCAGTTCATTCGGTGAAGCGCCAGCTGTCAGCCCACCGCTAGCATTCGGTGTGGTTAACGTCGCGCCGCCAACAGCTGTATTGGCCGTTGCCGCGTTTGTCGCCGTCGCTGTCCCACTGGTCATGCCCTCAATATCAATGGGCGCAACACTGTCATTGTTATTGTTGTTCGGTGTGTTCGAGTTAGCTGTCGCTGCTGCGGCAGCCATCGACGGCGGCACAGGCACATTGAGCGCATCGTGTCCCGTCGCTATTGTGCTCACCTTAAGCGTCTCCTTATCCGTCGCGGTGAGCGTGCAGTTGGGCGAACCGGGCGTGAGCATTGTGAGTGGGGACGGTACATTCGAATTTCCATTGGGATAGACAAGTGGATGCGGCTCCATGTCGGCAGCCTCGGAGGTGGAGATGTCGGACGCGAGATCGCACGTCACAGTAGGTATTTGCATTGGCAGCGCGGCGCTGTTCGGTGGTGTTTCGATGGTGGCTATCTGACGCTGTTGATTCATTTGTAAAGCRCTCATGGCGCTCGACGATGGCATCGGTATGGTGCCCTTCTTACCGATGGTGGTGAAACTCGTTACCTGCAAGGAGAGGGAGCGTAAAGAAAATATTGATCAGAGAGTAAGACTTTAATAAAGTTTTGGAGCTTATAAACCTATAACGAATTTTTCAAAACTGATATAGTTCGGATATGATTTTAARTTAAGTTAAGTGAGTGGCGGTAGCTAAAAACCATAAACTGTAGCCAGAGAGAAATATAACTGATTCACTCTATTTTTTTCTTAGAAACGAGTCTCTGTTATCATAATCCAGTACAAATAATTCATATGCGGCACGTGCTTAGCATTCTTAAACAAAGTACCTGCCCGCCCACATGTCAGCGTTGCCAATCATCTAAAATCAACAAATATCTATACAAAACCATTATACAAATATCATTATTTGTCACGCATATATTCTATGCGCACATATGTATGTATAYACACATATTCTATCGTGTTTTCTCGAGAGAAATAACATTTCAATAATCGCCGGAAACGCACAGCTTCCCATACATTTCTATGAATCTCAACCAAACCTCATGAATGTAGATATTTGGATTCACAGATAGCAAAAAAGCGTGCATTGCATGCTTAAATGAACTGTTTATTCGTCATATACTACCCCTAATATGTTTGCAGTTATGCTTTCCAATTTCTCTAATAATTCAGTGTTTTGTTTTTCGATTTCAATTTGTTGAGCATTTATGTCATGAGTGTGACTTTTCTCATTACCAAAACTCTTCGTTTGCTATTTATTCCACAACATTTTTATAAATATTAGCACCGGCGTAGTTAAAGAGGGGTATTATCGGTATATGGTAAAGATTGCTGTGTTAAAATTAAAACACTGAAGTAGGCAAGGACTGGTATTTTCGGACCCCACTAAACTTCTTTGTGGTTWATGATATAAGAAAGATAATATCTTAACAGTTATAGCAACATTCGAAACTTTTACTTTTGACAGAGATTTTCTTTTAATACATTTGGTATTGAAAATATCGTCATTTAATATAAAATCTAACAAGGAAAAATAAAGAGTGCTTCATTGAGAGCTTGGTTACTTTTTTAAAGAAAATGCACAAAAACTTCACATTTAATGGGGAATGGTTACTATCATTCGAAAGATCATTCTTTGGATTTTATTTTTTTAAGATTGTCTCTTTCAAATTCTTCTACTTCTCAGATAGTTCAGATAGTTCGTTGAGTTCAATTTTCGATGACTCGTTCGAATGAATCGAAGCSAGATTATCCGCATGCTCCACAGGAAAAAGTCTARCCGTGTGATATCGCACGATCTTAGTGACCAATCGGTCGAAACTTGAAATTATCTGCTCATCGAAGYGGCCTCGTCTTGTTGAAGCCAAACGTCGCCGCTTCAATTTCAGGCATCAAATAGTCGRTTATCAWGGCGTGATAATGGTCACCAGTGACTGCTAATTTCTTCATCTCTTTGATGAAATGTGGATCGATGTTTCAACCGGGCCAAAAACCACACTAAAAATTGCACTTTCTGAAAGAATCTCCTCAAGTTAGTATTTGTCCCAAATGCGGTAAGTTTGCCCCACTCAGTCAGAAATCATCGCTAATCGTATCGGTTGWATAATAGCCAATAATTAATTTTCCTAATAAAGTTGAACGATTTTTAAACGTTGTTCAGTTGCAAGTGTATCCTTGATGAAATGCCAAACAATACTGAAGAAAAATAACACGACAGCTTGGCACGACTCACGCGTGATCTATCAAAAAATGGATCTTGAAAAAAGTACCTCTACTTGGATCATCCATCATAACAGACAGACTTACTCTAGATCAGGGTTTGTAAATCGTACAYRTTTTTTAACAAAACAATGGTTCGSTTGCCAATGCTGCTGTAGAGCACCCATGGCGCGTAACAATTGGAGTTGTGTCCATTCAATTTCTGGAAGATTTTGCGGAAAGAGTTTAGTTTGTGGTCTTGCGAAAAATAATTCATGCAAGAATTGAAGCCGAACAATYGAGAGGGTGGCACGTTCGGTTAATGAGCCCAAGTTTTGCTCAGAGCTTAAGCTCACTTTGAATAAATCAAATATACAACTTGTATGTACATACTTAAAAGGTCACTGTGTGGTGTGCTCACCAGTCAGAGTGAATCAGTGGCCCATATTTCTTGAAAAATGACACCGACCAGGATGTTATAGTCAGTGGGAAACACTATAGAACCATTATTGATGACCCTTTTGTGCCTGAATTGAAGAACTTTGATGTAGACTATCATTGATCCCAACAATACTATATATCATACAGCCAACAAAAGAGTCAATTTAATGAAGAAAACTTTTAATGAGCGCACACATTATCTCGTTGATCTATTTTTGTGACGTTGCAAGAAGTCGCTTTTCTACGTTCAAGACGATTGATGGCTTGAGAGATAAGATTTGGCGCGCTGTTGCTGCAAAAAGTGGTCAATGGAAAAGTGGCCTGGAATTTATTCGATATTCTAAATTAGATGAACTTAATAAAAGGTGTTAAAATATGACTTATATTTGTTTTGACAAAATTCTGTGTTTTTAGTAAGCTGATAAACAACTTTCTACCAAAATATGCATTATGAATGGCCATAGGAAACCAAATGCGGRCAATTGCAGAGCAGCACAGTAAATTTCATGTATTAATAACTGTCTACGGTACAACAAGCGTTAAATAGTAGCGAATTGTACAAGCTATGCCAGATGTTCAAACAAATAGGCGACACTAGTGGTGCAACCCCAAGCTAAAATGTCTTCTGACCCATGCGCAATAGTATTATGATTCTTTCTTAGTTCAGAAATTCCTCATTTTGCATTAAAAAATGTTTTTTTTTTGTTTTCTATAAATTTATATTAATATAAGAAATTTGTAATTTATTTTGTCATTGGAAATATTCTCGATAGTAAAGTTTGGTTGCATTGAAGTTAGCTGCTATAGTACCACTTTAAAGTGGTATCAGCATTCTCTCTTGCACGAATTGCACTCAACAATCTTGTTGTGGTTTTACATGAAATTTATTAGAGGCGGCTCTTCGCGAGTAGAGAATTTGAACGCAGCTAATATTTAACCATATCGAGTCTTCGTTTATAATGCTTTACAGATTTATTGATAACTTCGGATGTTAAGTAAAACAAATCGCTTGTAGTCGAAAAAAGAGGAGTTCTTACCATGTGCTCTTTTAACCACACAATCCTTCTAAATGTTGGTCTGCCAGACTTAAAAAACTAGTAATAATATCCTCCCACTGCGCCTCTGTGAGACTGACTCACATTACAGCGATCCTGTAATGCACAGCGCTTCACAAATTGAAAGCAGATTCTACGCTGATTATATGCACCGTCTTGTAAATTCATTAATAATCCGCATAGCGATTACTCCAATAACGGTTAAGCGCAGACGAGGCGCCTATCGGCATTGGTAATACGAGCATGTAAAATAAAAAAAAAAAACGAAAAATTCAAATAATAATAATAAAGCAACACAAAACGTTGGCAAACAGCAGAAATGCAGCGAATTGGAAAATTTTCGATGACAATATTTGCCGTTTTTCTGCTTCAGTCCGTTTTTCGCGTTGTCGATTTTTAACAAATTTGTATTCAACATGTTTATATGGTTGTTACTGTAATTGACATATTACAGCGTTTGGTGGCTCATCTGTCAGCGTTATCCGAGTATGAATGAGTGCGCCAAAGTGGCACGTATGTCATTTTTCATTACTCGTATTCGCCGCTGACAAAAAGAAGCAGAATGAAAACAAAAATAATAATAATACAGTTCGTAGGAGCGAGTTGAGTTTGTCGCCCACATCGGACTATAGTCGAMATGCGTGTGGGCTCTTTGTCACCCAACTACTCGTCAAACCCTCCTTCCGGTTTCTTCACGTGTAGCCATGAGAAATGCGACTCCATTAAACTCATTTGTTACTTGTCCTCATTTATTTTTCACATTTTTTGTTGGTTCTCATCTATCTTTTCGCTGCTTTAGTTCGCTGCCTGGAGTGCTCGATTGCTAATTACCGCTTTTTAAATGCGAATTCATTACCGTTTTCCATTCGCAATTGCCATTTTGGCTTTAACTCGATTTTGGCAAATTGGATAAATCGCTTTAATGAAAAAACGGCACTTAGTGCAGCTAAACTAAGTACTCGCTACTTGTCATCTCATTGCCGGTGCATTTACTGCTCAAAGCTGCTCTTAAGCTGATTCTAGARGAAGATGAGCGCAATAAATTAACTGTTTTGTTGCAATTGCTAATAATAACTCATTTGTTGGCGATTGATAATTGCGATAATTAATCAGGATGAATCGTTTAGTTAAGTTGTTTGATAACTAGTTTGTAACTAATGTGACTTCGATATAAGCAAATAACAGAATCCGATGCGATTGATTATAAATCGATCACAAATAAGCTAGGATTTGAAGTAATTTAGTTCTCATCTGCATTTAATAAGTTTATTCTATGTTTTACTATTTCAGAKTTTTCATTATATTTCGGCAAAAAGTGGAGAATTAATATGAAATGCATACAGCTTAGCAGCAAATTCAATGGATTACTGAACAAATACTCGCAAGAATCCTTTCACTGTTTTCAAGCAATAAGTAGTCACTACAAATTTCAATACTTTTTAAAGAGCTTAGATGCTATTGAATGTTGTCCATATAGTTGTGCCATATTTCTATGTTGGACGACTTTCGACCTMTTCAAATGATGAAAATATTGAAAAAGTGAAGAATATGGTGCTTGAGGYAAGTGCTGGATGGATGGCAAGAGAACTCGGCATCTCTCGCGAGTCCACTTGAATGATTTTGTTGGTTATTTTGGTTATGATATGCGTGTTTGCTCGAAACGTCCCGATAAAGCAAAATTTTTTTTTTTGAAAAGAGTACTATAAATAACATCTCATTAGACGTGCTTGAACATGCGAACTCCGATTCCACATTCATGGAGAGCAATATAATTACCGATACGACATGGATTTATGCGTGTGACAATCAAACATGTCGTTATTCGATATTCGTGGCTTGATGCATTATGAACTTATTGCGAAATGATAGACAGTCARTAAGGAATTCTATTTGGTCGTATTGATGGGTTTGCGTGAGAACATACACCGAAAATGACCGAAACTGTGAGAGAATAATTCATGCATTTTACATGATGAGCCACGATTATCAAAATGCTTGGTTTCGTTTGATCTTTTCTTGTTCTTCAAACTGAAATTGAAACTCCGTGGAATCCGTTTGCAGTCGACCGAAAATACAAAAAACTCCCTGAAGGAGCTGTAGGCTCTCCCAAAATCTGCTTATGAAAATTCTTTTAATTTTATTAATTTTAATCACAAACGTAAACTTTTAGAAGYAAAATACGCTCTGTAGTTTTCAATAGGTTCGGAGATATATGATTTCACTWAAATGAGGGCGATGCTACACCTATTGTCCAATTTTACCGCGGCTCTTATTACGCTGTTGTCAAATTTAATTTCTCTGGGATTGCTGGTTATTGTTTTATGCGAACCTTTCCTTATAAATCGTKAAAGATTTAAAAGAGGACTATACTTATATCGCCAAAATTATATCTCTCATATTAATAGTGATAAGAAAAATTTTGACATTATCAGATATAGGGGAGATCCTTCTGATTAATTTTCTGCAATTTTATAGGAAAGTTGGAGCTGAAACACAAAAGTAAATCAAGACAGAAAAATATAGTACTTTCAGCAGGAAAACTAGCTTAAGCCAGTTGCACTTGCCTGTTAAAAATATATCAATTTTTATGGTCATATAGTGATTTTAGACTCACCTGTTCGTTGTTTGTTTTRCGCGGATGTTTTTTGATGCCGCGTCTCGCTCTCGCTTTAGCGGCATAATAAATTCGTATATAGACAAAAACCATAATGCAGCTGGGCAAGTAGAAAGAACCCAATGCGGAGTATAACACATAGCCGATGTCTTCGCTTAGCTGGAAATATAARATTGAAAAAGGAAAATAAATTTTGTGAAAATTTTATATGATTAAGTCTAGTTAATATGGGCTGATCATGTTTTAACAATACTTTGATGGTTTTGCTTGGAAAACGTATTTACTTAGAAATAAAGTTTGCTGATACATACTGTCTAACTAAATATTTACCAATAAATATAAAGAAATGTCCACATTTTGTTTTAAATTCTTTTAGGCAAAATTATTTTTGTTTCGATTTTAAGCTGTTAGAGAGGACCATGTATTTGATTTTTACATATCATTATTATTATTATTATTAGTCTTGTTACTTACTACTACTTTTTCCTATATTTGGCGTTAATTACAACTACAGCTTTCGTTTCTAGGCAATAAAAAGCGCATTTAAGACGTTTTTAATCACCTAAACGCTTCCCAAACGGTTGCGAGTGAGGAACTATTTCATGTTCGAAAATTGTAACGAGCGACAGTTTGCGTTTTAGGCGATTTGTTMGCAAAATAAAAATACAAACACAGCCAACCACTTATTTCATCTATTGCGTATTGTATAACACATGCACATACGCACTTGTTTGACTGCGAAAAGAAATAAAAGTCACTYATACGACACGTGGCACCAGCAGCGCTGACAGCTTGATGGAAACGGGTCGGAAATGGAAATGAGTTTGTGGCTATAAATCACGATTCCGGAAAGCAAACGTGGCGGAAAACTGCACTAAAGCGAGCAATATCCATTTGCTGTTATATAATATTTGGGGCTCGTAGCGGCAGATAAATAGCTATTTTTGTTAAATGTGGGTGTTTTTTATAAACTAAATAACAAAAATCGTCTAAAACAAAATGAGTGCTTTGTTAATGACTTTACTTGTGTCTTTATGCCGATGAATGTGCAGGTATACATATTTTATTTGGCTGTTTCGTTTTAGAAAAGTATATATTGCATAAATATTATGGCTTCAATTCTAGTCTAACTTCACTAGAATAATGAATATCACTATATTTAGTCTATGGGGACTGGCGTAATTCATGTACCGATTTTTCAGATTTTTGCAACAAATGACAGAAAATTCAAGAAAACTTGTTCACCGATTTTTGTAAAAATATTTCACGTAGGTGACATATGTAAATAGTAAAAAGACGACCGGATTTTGTGAAGTTACTATATTAAAGGCATGTCTGCTAGAGGAAATACTGAACCGATTTGATCCACTTTTCACATCAGTTAAGCCGGGGTTAAGATATCGATCTTAACAGAGATCTTACTCGGGCAGCTTAGAAAGCCATTGTGTTACTGTCATATAATGAATCATAATAATCAAACAAAGCGCTTTGAGCCTATCGAATATTCGTTGAGAAGGTTAATGCCGGTTTCGGTAATGCCTTGTAGAGATTGAATAATGAAATAGAAAGTTCCTAGATGTTTTCACCTTACCCTACTTAATAGCAGCCACTGCTGCCCGAAAAACTCCACAGATATTCTGTAGCCTAAAGCTACGGAAAGATTCTAACAGATACCTTTCTCTTAGATTAGGTCACTGACCCTTTTGTTTATGTTCAGTAGGGTTGGTGACCTCTTTGTTTACATTTTGTGAGGTCAATGACCCGATCATAATGGCCGGCGCATTCGAAAATTCTGTACGCTATACCATAGTATCAAATGCGAGTCCTTGAAATGTTAAGTTATGCGCGCGGTTGCTTTTTTTTCCTCCTTGGCCTTGTGGCTTTGGAATAGTTGCGTATTGATGCTTCACTAGAGATTATAATAGAACTGTATGTCTACAACTGTGCTGTCTCCTTTGGTATTTAGGAGCGACATAAGATCACTGGGAATACCATACAATTTGCCTCGATTATGGATTAGAAAATCGTAGATGGCATCTCAAATAAAATGATATTGGGTACGCTAAAAAAGCTCGTTGTGATAATATCATCCAGCAATTTCCCGAAAAACCGCCAATTGTAAMTCTTTGCTTCAGAGAAGTAGCAGCTGAAAGCACTACTTCCTTGCGCTCTGCAGCTTGTGCGTTTACAAAAGGTAAATTATTTATATTTTTGATTTATGTTTCAAATCCAAGTCTAATAACTTTAATGGTGTTAGCACTGCAAGTGATTTATAGGTGAAAATTAAAGAAAAGAAAAACAGTTAGTATTATGGCTGTACCTTAGCACTTGCTGCAAAATAGTAAAGTATATAAACTAGTTGATAGTCCGAAAACACGTAAAACCCATTTTAAACAAAGACCCACACATACAAGCATTTGAGTGCACAATATGTTTTTAATTATAATTTATATTTACGATTTCGTATTTTGCTATTGTTGGTTTTTGATAAATGGCGCTGGCACGTTGTGGCCGAAAATCTTAAATGAACTTTATTGCCCTGCAATTCTTCAAAAACTGCTTTCCATTTACCTATACTATAAATAAACATTTAAATGACATTCGTGAAATAAAGTACATTTTGGAAATTAAAATTGATGTTCTCGAAATGGTTTATTGTTTGGCGATAGAAAACTTCGCCAAAAATGAAATAAATAAATCTAAGACGCATGCTCCTTTTACTATTTTCTAGTAAATTTGTAATAAATTTCCATATGGGAGACTGCATCTTGAGAAAAATTGCTATTATGAGCTATGTGATTTATGGCTTCGTGTTGGCAAATAAATTGAGTMAATGCCGAAACATTTGTCGTAATTAACTTCAATTTGTTATGAAGCAAATTTGTTGAGCGTTTTCTTAATCAATCTATCAACGAATTAATGTCAATTTAATATAATGAATTTAAGATTACTGTTGAAAATAATATGTATAATTTTTTAAATATTTTTCTATTCGTATATTTATGTAGGACATGTTGGGACTTTGTAGTCTTCAGCCGCAGTGTTAATAAAGAGGTCTTATATGTTGCATTCTAAGATACCACTATAATTAATCGAGATAAGTAAAGAGTCAAATTGCCATGTAAGCACCAATCTATCTAATTTCATCTGGAATTTTGTTCATTTTAACAATAATTTACTTGAACATGAAACTGAATTAAGATATCTGATAATATTTGGTGTAGTTGTTCCTTGGCATTCTGAATGGTCGAAGTTTTATTAAGCCTACAAATAAGTTAAAAAATATTACACGCTAAGGCAAGAGTTTAAGAAGTTCTGAAAATGGTTGTATGCTCGTCCAATTATAGTTTTCATATGCCTTCCCCTCAAAGTTGGCTTGGACTGAGAAAAAGTTGCATTATCAAGTATTTTAATACCAATCTTTATTATAGCCCCCAAGTTAAACTCCATTGGAGCCAATTTTCTATTTTCTTGTTACAAGCTTCAAACACAATGGTCCTTAGTGYCTTCATCGAGTTTTGGCTTTTCGGTTTTGGCTCATTGTTGAAGCGTCATTCGCTAGATTRTTGAAAAAATTCGAAGTCATTTTCAGAAAACAATATTTCCTCACCAGTAATGTTACATTTGATTAATGTAGCATCTTAAGTTACGTTGTCAAACATCTCTTTTGCGATTTCTAGTCTCGCTTTTATAATACAGTGACTACATTACTCAGMAAATCTGAAGGAGAACTTTTCAACTGCTGTGCTAAGAGGTCTRTGAGGTATTCTGRTCGCGAATTYGRWTTCAAAAATTTTCCATCACGTCCAGCCAATTTTGTAGTTTTAATAAATGGCGGTGGTTTGATACCTATACCTCTTGATTACTCTTACGCGTTGGGGCATTTTTACTATCAATTTTGCTTTAGGAACCCAAAATTAGCAAGAAAAAGCCTCTAACAGTCGCAGTCACTCTATAYTAGCAATAKCAATCACTGTTTCTTTAACTTTTTCCATGTACTTGAATGGTAATGTTCGAACATCTTGTCCTCTAAAGCATCTACAGATACGAGAGCACCACAGTGTCTAAATTTGTGACAAGTTAAGCGGTGATCGTCAGTAGAAGATATTAAAGTGAAACTGGAATCATAAATAGTTTAAAATATCTTTAGATTCTGCTAAGTATGAAATCTAAAGGTGAGTTAATTATTGAGCTATCTGATATGTGGAGAAATGGGACATAGTCTTTCGCTGGCTGCAAACCTAATCTCATACTACCTAACAACAATATGCGTGAAGTATTGTGTGTGTTCTGAGTATGTATCTTGTAAATTGACAGCTTATATAAGAGCTCTAAGGTTGGCAAGAGAATCACTGGTGCAAAACCCGGAAGTGCATATTCATAACAATGTATGCAAAGAAAGTAGACCGCACGCTGCCGTCGACTATAATCGTACACTGTAATTCGTCGATTATCTGTACCGAATACATTTTTCTAAGAGCCCATACGGGATTATGCAGCGCTGTTGTAATCGATGGTGGAAAGAAACTGGAATTTCATTCTTATTGATTTCAAATTGCTGGAATAATCAAGTGGCCAATACTTGRACCTTTTGCCATTAAAACTAAATGGAAAGCCATATGAGCCTGTAGTACAGTACAAAGTGAGGTGTAACATTATTAATTTGACAGCGAGCGGTTTCAACATAATAGAAGGAAACGAGAGTACATCATTGCTTTTCCTTTACACCACTTCACAACGTCATCCTATACATGAGAAGTTCGTTGATATACGTGTGACTTCACTTGGCGGCAGTTTTTCGGTGGAAAAGTTGACAGCACTCATGTCTTAATCCTCTGGTAAATGGAAAGCTGTCAGCGAAGCGTCAGGTCTAATTATAGCAAAACTAAGACATATTCAGTATATTATGCGCCAGTCATCCCGTGTGATATGACTTAAAGTAKTTCTCTATCCTATGATGTAATATTTAGTCCGGTGGTTCCGTGGAAAAGATATGAGTGGGGAGTAGGTTAGGTCTAGCTGATTAGTTGATTTCGTAAAGTTTTCCTCCTGCTAAAWGAAGTCATATGTGAGCATCAAGGTATGTATTGTTAGACTTAGCCAGTGACTTCCTTACCAAATTATATTCTCTTACTTCGAGAAATGTGTAAAGATGTAAA